GAACGAAACACAAAAAATCCTGTCACGTCGAATTTTGCCTTCATTATAGAATCCAGCATAAAATGCGACAGGTTTTTCTAATCTACTTACTGTTTGTGTCAACATAACAGATAAGCTAATTGTCATCTATGCCTTGAATATCCCTTTTCAGTTTCAGTCATAATAATTATCCATTGAATTGTTTTATGCAATCAAATGTTCAAATAGGCGAATCATTTCAGGTGCGAAGCTATTACAAAAAATGAAGAGCAAAGTGTCATTTTGCCGGTCTCAATCCAGATGCTGGAACAAGATATTACTCGGTAAAGTAACATAACCATAAATCAATTCCCCAATTAAGATTCGAGAGGGATTTGCATGCTTGAAGTTTGAAACATTTTTTTGGTTCGTCAAACACTGCTCTTTGATAAGGTTAAGACGAGAAAATTAAAACATCTTGTGCAGCCTTTAAAAAAGAATTCACATGTTTAGACGAGTTGGAGAAGAGATTTTATAAATCCATCATTTCTAGATCAAAAGAAGGTTCAACATTTGCTACAGTGCAGACTATGATAGATGAACACTTAAAGACAGAGCGAGTGGAAAAAAAATGCGAAAGTTGCGGTTGTTCGAGCGCAGAGAAAAGCCAAAAATTTTCTCGAATTCCAAGATAATTTTGTTTCCTTTTTTAAACTTGATTACATCCAATTAAAAACTTGATGATATTTAAGCTTTGTTTTTGTACTTTCTACCGATTTTTATTTCAGGTGTTTGATTGTATTTTTAAAGCGTTATGTGTTCGAGGCATCTTGCGCTGTAAAACGTGAAGATAAAGTTGGAATTCCGATGCACTTGAAGTTGAGCGATAATTCATCAAAATTTCCCCCTTTGTCGCCAACGACCAAGTGAGTGCTCGATTGGAAGGTGTTTTTAAAAAATATTTGGTTCAGTTTACTGGGTTAGAAGACAAGTGACAATAAAAATTATTTAGAATTGTAACTTTTCATTTAAGGAAAATCGATTTCAAGACTGCCACCATGCTCAAAATAAAGGGGTGTGAGGATGAAGATACAGAATCTTCCACGGAAACAGAAAGCGTGAGGAGTCCATCAGTTGAGCCTGCAGAATTTGTTTCAAAACACACCATCCCAAATTATTCTGCGACAGTCGCTCGGGAAATTATTTATTCGCAAAATTGGAATGCTTTAAAAGCTGATAATGAGACTACGTCAAAAAAATACTGTCCACCAAGTCCTGTTTCTCGTAAAAGAATCAGTGATAAACTCGATGTGGAATCAAAAATGGGTGAAGATTAATTCATGAAAAAACGCTTCCCATATTCTTTTCCTTAATTTCTTAAATCTTTTTTTTCGCTTAATTCGTTCATGTTTCATAAGCCGAACACAAATTGTAATTAAATAACATAAAATTGACTACGAGACATTTGATTTTTTGTTAAAATTAAGTAAATAATGAAAGTTCTTGATTTCAGTTTCTTTAAATACGGTTGACAAAAAGACCGAGAGAAGCGTTATATCTGTCAATATGCTTGCTGGTGACGATAAAAATTCGGACAATTTACTCGTGTATCCTATGCCTGTTCCACGCAAAAATGATCTTGATCACGATTACGTTCAAACAACTTCTTCCGAAGTACATTTCCGATTTTCTCTCACACATGGGTTGGGCAAAGGATGAAAAATTTTCTTGTTTGATGTATTTCGCAGTGCTGTAAGTAGCAGTATGAGGGAGAAATAAAGGTCATATAAGAGAAAGTGGAAAAGAAGTGGGTTGTCAAGTGGAACAAAAGAAACAAAAAAATATCTTAACAGTTGTAAACAAATGTTCTATTAATATTTCAGGGTAAAAATCGCAATCTTTCTAGTCAGCCCGTACAATATTTCATTGAAGCATTAAAAAAAGCAAAGTTAGTAAAAGAACTGGAAAAAGAAAAATCAGTTGATTCGGAGAGTTTGTCAAACGAACGACGGTATTTTTTTGATTTTATTCTTTTTTAAGTATCGCTATCTTTCATCAGGACATAATTTCTTTCCCTTAATACCGTTTCATAAGTAAGCAAGACTTCAGGGCCTGTCATTTTTTCGTACAGAGCTGAAAATTCCTTAAAGCCATTAGTCTGTGTTTTTAGAGCGTTATTTTTTTTCCAAAAAAGATTATAATAATTACACACATTTATGTAATTTTAGTTTAAATTAAAAAAGAAACATTAATACCCGGACTTTTTTTTAATTAAGGAAATGAAAAAATAGTGCTAATGTTAAAAGATAACAAGAACTGTAAAAACACTTTAGTGATGAAAATACTGATAGGGCAAATTGGCGTGGTTCAAAGGTCGTTGCAACTGATATGAACAGTCTGGCTGTAGCTGAGGCTTCACGAGCCACTGCAGGTCATGGAGAAAAAAGAGTTGAAGAAATTGACACGAGCAAGAAAGCATCTGCAGGTGAATAAGTTGTCAGTCAGTGTATTTGAATTAAGAAAATTAGTAACAAAAAAAGGTGAAAACAATCTTAACCAGCATTACAAATTGAAAGTGTAAATTTTTGATACACATAAATGAAAAACGTTTTTAAAACCAGAAAAAATGGAAAGAAATTCTCTACCGAACTTTGTTCCTTAATTTTTTTACTCCAATTTTAGCTAAAGAGTGCAGTGCAGTTTTTGACAGTACCGATAGTTATGAAAAATCGAGGGAATCTTCCATTGCACATCTTATCAGTGTGGAAGCTAGCAAGAATTATTTTGCTGACTTAGGGTCAAAAATTAATGTTCTTACACCGGTAAGTTCTTTTTTTAACTATTGTGTATGAGAAAATATGCATCAACTAGAAAGAATAACGAAGAGGAAGGTTTTAGAAATTAAATCAATCAGAACAAATTTCTTTAAGATGTTGCGATGCCCGAAAATCTAACGGACATTGATTTTTCAGGATGGCAAACAACCTTTTCAATCAGAATCTACTTTAGAAGCAAAACGTTCAGCAATGCAGGAAGAACAGAAATTAGTTTGCTCCTTTTATAATAAGACACAGATAATTCAAGCAAGGTATTTCATTGGAACTTTATATGCTTAGCTATAGTCATTAACCCTCTCCATTGTCCTCAATCCACATTTATCTGTCTTTGTCTGGTAAAACAGGAACTTAGATATTGCTTATATTTGAATAGAAAAATAGTTAGTGACCAAAAATGGTTAATGAATATTGTAGTGTTGTTATTATCTAAGTTTGCTTTACGAACACTTGAACAGCGAAGTATTCAGCAAGAATAATTTATGTGAAATAGTAGTCAGTTGTTATTTTGACCATAATTTTTATTCATCATTATATTTTACTTTACTTTAAGCCTTGAAAATCCTCCATCAAAAGACTACTATACGGATGAGGATCTATACTTCATGACTGAAGATGAACAAATTTTTGCGGTTGGTTAACCTCTTTAAAAGTTTGCTTTGTGTAATTATTTGTTATGATTAAATAAAAGCATGATTGAGTTTAGGCCTGTAAACGTAGTATTGCTGATCAGCTTCGGAAAGACAATGAAACTTCTGCAACAATATCGCTAAATAGTGATGAAGAGGTTTGCCGTTTTTCGCATAATCATCAAAAAATGTCAAGTTTTAAGAAAAAATTTCGATTGTATTTCAGAGATCGCGTATGCAATGTGCACATGAACTGATGGACCAGAAATTGTCTCCTAACATTGACAAAGATTTAGAAGTAGACGTCGAAGTGGTTGAAGAAACAGCAGACTACACACAGAAGTTTGAAAAACAAGAAAGCGAGCAAAGCGTAGATAAACTAATGATCCAGAAATCATCATCTGACACTAATATAAATCTCAATGTAGACAAAATGGTTATGGAAACAGGAGATCATCCGGAGAATTTTAAACAACAGAAAGGTGAACGAAGTGCAAATTTTTTTTAATTTTAAAAAGCAAGGAGGAAAATTTGAAGGCGGGTGGAATTTTGATTCTAACTACATATAAGAGATAATTGAATGTGATTATGAAGATAAAGTTGAAGTTGAGGCCCTAGGAGGACGGGCAAACACAAAGAAATGACTAAAATATTTCTGGAATTAAAGGTGAGAATATGAACAAGCTATTTGAATCGTTCGAAAACGCTGCACTGACTACTGACATCAATAAGTTATTTGTGCCTGAGGATCACAGTGATAAACAGGAAAGGACTAATGAACCCGAGTTTTGTCCCGATTGTGAATGGACAACTTCGAGAAATACGGGTAGTACGGTTGATGAGGTTAGATAAATAATGTTACGTCTATAATTAATAATCATGGTCAATATTTACTGAGGGTTTTAAAACTTCGTTTTATCTTCCAAAATAATAATTCCAATTATTCTGCCGAAAATTTTCTAGCCAAAATTTTGTAGATGTCACAATAATTTTTTTGCCGAAATTTTTTGAATGTTCAGCTAAAATCGTTTGGATTCAGATCAGTGCCAGACGAAAAACGTAATAAAAAAGACATTCCTTTCATACCAATACAATTATTATTTTGTACTAAACATATGGTAACTTACCGCAATAGGTGAATTTCTGTTTTAAGTTATGATATCAATTTCAGAATACAATGGATGCAACAGAAAAGACATCTTCACGTAAGCTAAATTTTACATAACATTACTTTTATTTTCCTGCAGAGTTTTCCCTTGATACTCGTTATTTTTATAGAGCCAACGTGTGACACGCAGTTCCTTGAATCTTCATCACCTAATCTTCGTCGATACTTGACTTACAGCAATTATCCTCTCCCTGCAACCACGTCTTTATCACTTAAACATCCGAATGACGATGAAGCTTCTAAATTGCTGATCAAATCATTGCCATCTGCAAACAATGATTTGGACGTGGAAAGCATTGGAAACTCGGACGACGAGTCATCGCAGAGCAGTATCAGTGATGGTTTTTCTAACAAAGACGCAGTAAGTTTTAGGCTATAAATTAAAGATATGATTGAATCACGAGAAAAAGTAAGCAACTTTGAATGATGTAAGATTTTCGGTTCTGGAGTTCTGTCTCTCACGAGCTCATAGGTAATCGACTACAATTGCACCGAAAACTGAAACGAAATCAGTTAGTTTTTACTAGTTTATAGAGATTCTCTACAACAACAATAATGAAGTATTTACAGAGAATGAGCTTAAGGACACCTGTGATGAAGTAGAGTTCGAAATCAGTGAACTACATATTTCTTATTTAAAGAATGTAAAGAATAAGCAAGCTAGATGTTCGTTAAAAATAGGCTTGCGGAATTATTTCTTAGAAAACTGACTCTTATTTGGTAATATTTTCATTGTTTAAGGATGAAGTCTTCGAGGTATTTGGTCCACAACCAATTCCATATATACCGTTAAGCTATGACAATCGACAATCCATTTGTATGTGTCTTGGCATGGTTTTCAACGTTGATTGGATGCAAGTTTCAATTTCAATTTTGAACATTGTTTTTGGGCGTTAAGCAGGAATCCATTATTTCTAGCAGTAATTAATCAGTGTGCTATTGCTTTCAAGTTACTCAAAACAGCGCCCAATACAGTGATTGAATGGTTATATGTTCCCTCATCTCTTAAGGTCCTAATTGATGTAACATTGTCTGGGGTTCTGTCTAATACCCGTCGGACACAAAGCAAGACTCTAAGTTCTATCGTGTCCCTTACATGACTCATTCATCGCCCACATCGCTACAGTTGTTTTCGCTGAATTAAATATATTGGATTAGCAATAAATTGCAGGGTTCAATGCCCAGTTATAGAAATGGACCTCTATGACAGACCAATTCAACTGGTTGATATCGAAGCGATCTGTAACTGCCTTTTTCAGTCACTGGCTTATTATATCGCTGGTAGTGAAAGAGATTATCAACTGCTTCGAAATTCTGTAATTTTATTTTTGATCAAAATTGATTTGAAAGAAATTCTTGAAAGTTTCAATAATTAGTCGATAGTTAGGAATTGTTATTATAGTTCTTATTTTCTAGATTATTCGCTTTGAGATGGATCATCCAGTTGAATTTGCTGCTATAAAGGGTTGGACAAAGAACCAGTGGATGTGTCATATAAGATTGTTAACAGAAATTGGGTTAGGAGCTGATCTAGAACTTTACGCTTTCGCAACAATGTTTGATATTGATGTTTGGGTTTTTCATAAGGGACAGTGGCATTGTTATAGACCAAGGTTCCAAATGCTCGAAGGTAAATCCCAAGGTAAGCCAGTGTATACATATATCCATGCCTATGTCTAGAAATTCAGAAAATTGATCTTAGTTTATATCCTTGCATAAACCTGAAATTCGTTCTGCATAAGCTTTTCAAACCAAAAAAGTCAGTCGGATTAAGCGGCCAAGAATACTTAATGGTATTATTAGAAATAATGAAGTAGTGCAGAAATTTGTTCAGGTTATATTAAAAAATGAGACCTAAATTTTTTCCCCGGTTTTAAACCTCTTTTAAAATTATCTGGGACTTGAGCTGTCTGAATAATTGATGTAATTTGTCATACTCTTCAGTTTTTTTCTGGATTTCTTAAAATTTCAATCAATTTGTATTAAAATTTTTAGAAATAAGTGTTGGAAACTATCGTATTGGTGAAAACGAGGGTGTTTATCTGATGTATGAAAATTGTCTATTTTCTCCGGTGCTCATACCTTCGGTACAAAAAACTTCTGCATTACGTATTTATTATCGAAAATTCTGTAATAGAAAAGATTACCAGCTCTGCAAACTTTTTGGTATGAGCAAGTGACCTGTGATTTTGTGATGCTTCCTTGTGAAAAATTAAATTTAGAATGAAATCTTCCTCAACAAACTTATACCCACGAACTCAGATGATAGCAGCGATAATACTAATTTTACGCAAGATGTTCAGCCAAAGGTAAATTTGTTTGCTTATGAAATTTTCACTATAGCTATCTCACTAGCAAAAGAATCTACACTCTCTATAATGGAAATAAACTTTCGTGATACGAGTATTACGAATTATTATCAGTAAATTTTCCACATTTGTGAAGTAGGATTCAAAAGGGAAAAAAAGAATATTGACATTATGAAATTTCCTACTATTACATATTCGACTTCTCCTTTTCTACATTTTTTCAATCCAAATATTCTAATTTAGGATGGATTTTATGACCATAACGATGACGTGTTTTTTGATACAGTTACTACTACTCAAGTAAGTTTTAAATAATTATTACCAAATTCTCTATATTTGTGAAGTAGGATTCAAAACGGAAAAAAAGAATGCTGACATTATGAAATTTCCCACTATTATATATTCCACTCCTTTCCTGCATTTTTTTCAATCTAAATATTCTAATTTAGGATGAAGTTCATGACGATAACGATGACATATTTTCTGATGCAGCTGCTACTATTTATGTGAGTTTTAGATAATTATTACTAAATTTTCCATATTTGTGAGGCACAATTCAAAACGGAAAAAAAGATGCTGACATTATGAAATTATGAAATTTTCCACTATTACGTATTCGACTCCTTTCCTACATTTTTCGAATTTAGGATGAAGTTTATGACGATAACGATGACGTGCTTTTTGATACAGCTACTACTACTCACGTAAATTTTACAAATGTGCTTTTTTTTATGTCTATATTGAGGAAGATCATTTAATGGAGACTGTGCCGTGAGATTTCAATTTCTTCACCTTTTTAGGTGTTCTAGTTAAAATCAATCATTAATCGTTTAAGTGAACCAATTCTCATTTACTGATAAATGAATACTATTAGTCAGAAAAGATATGATAATGATGTGCACAACTGATGAGTTTGTTTTGAGGAAGATACCACGCAGGAGTCGTATCGACTTATATCTGTTGTCAGTCATTTGGGACAAACAACAGACAGGGGTAAGTATGGCGGATGTATTTCTAAAAGTTTAAAACACATATTTAAAATATCTTTTTGACATAAGCTCCACTGATGTTTTGAGGATTGAGTTTCGCTTCATATTTCTATCCTTCCTTAGTTTGCTAACTATTTCGATCTTCTAAAAGCCAAAAGCAAAAAAAGTGTCATGAAATTTAAGAGAACCATTTTTCGGTATAGGTCACTATATATGTGATGCTTGGTGCAATAAATCGAAAAGCTGGCTATTCTGTAACGATGAGTCAATCATACCTATTGATGAAAAATCAGTGTTGGGCAGATGCCGTACTGGATACGTCTATTTGTACCTTAATAGGTGAGAATGCTTCAAGTTTTCTATATAGTCATTATTGAAATGAAAGTCTCAATAATTTTTACGTATTTTATATTTATGCTAACCAAGTAATGAGTCTCGTACTACTTGCTTTTTCTGTAGGTCAAGCAATTAAATCTAGAAGACATCGTTAATTTGATTCATCAAACGCTGAATCTAAACTCTAAACATGTGCCAAAAAAATTCATCTCATTCTTTTATGAAGAGGTACATAATTTGAACCAAAAGCGTGATTATTACACAGTCGTTATTTAATGAATATATTTCGTGTTTCTCCTATAATAGAATACTCTTGCATTAATTTATACGACAGTTTTTTAGCGAACTATTCGAAAGTCAGTGATTACAGAAGGTGCATTCTAATATTTCTCGACTAAATCATCCAAATCGATTCAACCTTGATCGTCAATTTGAATTTTTGCATTGTTTCCTTAATTACATTTATTCTGTATATGTACTCTAATGTTGTTGCTGTTAACTGTTGATGCTATTCACTGGAATTTATCATCGAAGTTCTACTTTTTTTTGTTGAAAAAAAATGTTAGAATTTTTATATTAGGGATCTTAAAAAAAATATATATATATCAAATGAGTAAATTTGATATATATTTTTAAAAATCTGAAGGACTTAAAAGAATTTTATCCTTTTCTCTAATTACAGAAATTCTGTAGTATTAATTCCGGTTACTTTTTTCAACTGTTGCGATGCATAGAGTCTGTATACGCAATTTTATGTAAAATTCAAACCCTTGTTCTGTATAACTGTTTTAATCAAATGAAAAAATGAGATGACCGGTGACAAAGTTTTTGTACACCGTATATAATCTGGTGGTAATGGTGAAACATACATTTTCTCCTGCTTTGTATACCACACATGCATTTCAGTTGATTATACTATCCACTATTTGGTTTTGATAAAGTGAAATAATGCAAAATGCAATAAACTTGATATTGTTAGATTAATGATTCGTTACAGATTATTTCGTAGACGTGTTTAAGAAGACTGTTGAAATTTCAATTATCAAAGGATGCTTCCAAAATAATTTATGTTTTTTTTTTTCTTTTTCTTGCATACCGTAAGAATGCAAATATGCAACCATTCACTCATACCACAATGGGGATTTTAAGCATATACATTTTTTGCTTTCATAATGTATTACTTTGAAATTGATTTTTTTTGCAGCATAAGCTAGACATTACTTTAAGTACAAATATTTTACCATTTAATGGTAGTAACTCGAAATTCTTATCCTTTGGGAATAATTATCACCTAGTTTAGTAATTACAATAACTGTGAGACTGGATTATATCGTGTTACTTTTATAATTAACTTCCACAATATATTCAAAACATAGAATTCTTCAATAATCAATTTCTTTTTGCTACTGTAACATTTTATTTGATCATAAATTTTTAAACTTTTTTCATTTGTCTTTTCTTTTTTTATTTTTTCTCCTAATGTAATTAATTTCGTTTATAATCTAATTGAAAGATAAACATAAATTGCAAACATGCAATTTGTAGTTATTTAACTAATTAGTTAAACACGTTATCGTTTCTAGTAGGCAAGGAAAAAAGATTAAGCCTTTCTTTTGTATGGGAAGCACATTATCATATTGTGTATTTTACATAACAAATATAGATTAAAGTAAAATGAAATTTTGAAAAATTCAATAAAGCGTAGTAACTGTAGTAGAGTTGTAGTGATTGATTATAGTCGTACATTAGTTGTAATATAGTTGTGGTTGTCGCTCTAGTAGTTTATTGTTGCTGCTGTCGTTGTTGTTGTTGTTTGTTGTTGTTGTTTATTGTTGTT